AAGCTAAAATGTCAGTTTTTGTTGTATCCCGGAAGTAATGTGTCTAAAAACTATTAATAAACTCATCGCTGAGTAACGTACATCAAAGCCCTTATGCTTGGGCTAGCTTTCAGGTCTGTGTTTCGGTCGGACTGGACTTGCTGTTGTTTGTTGGGCTGCTCCTTCCAACTCCTGGCCTTTTCGGCCTTATGAGTTTATGCTTTGACCAAAGAAGAAAAAAATCTTCACGCCATTTTCATACTCAAAATTGTTATTACATGTTGAAGAAGTTTTGTATGCATATTTCACATAAATTGTCATGGTTCTTGCTATAAAAAAAATATGGAGGTTTTAGTTATGCCTTTTCAAAAAAATGAGAATAGGTGTATTTAGTATGTGAGATTTTGGAGGAAATTAAATTTAAATTAGCGATAATTGTAGTTTCTTTTATGCCATTGCAATAATTAATGTAATTAATTATAGTCGCTAGAGATAAATAATTCCTTTTTCTTTAACCTCATAATATGCAATCATATAAAAGTATGGAAATTGAGAATTAGAGAAAGTGGAAGGAAACAACTGGAGGAAGAGTTGTACTCCCCGAATGCTTAAAGAACAGTTACTGCAGCACCTCCTATTTCACAAGAGGCCAAATTTTCTGAACTTGTGTTGTTGTTGTTGATTCTTCTTCCCCAATTATCATTTCATTTAATTTGAAGGGTGAAGAATTTAGAAAGATGATGAAGTTATGCTTGAAATAGCTGAAGTAAAAGTAGAGATTCACAATATCCGTCCACAAACTGAAACTCACAGCTTAATCTTATGTTTGGAAGTAGAGTTGTAGTGAGCAAGCTTAATGTTCTTCAAGTTAGTGTGTAACAAATTTGGGTCGGAGGAAGTACTTTGAATTTTTAATAAATCCAAATTAGATTTTAGAGGTTCATAGACGAAGGTAAAATCGAAGTCGTAGGATTTTTTGATAGATTTTGAATATATTTATTAGGAATGTTAGAACTTAAAGCACATAAAATTAATAAAAAATTTTGAAGAGAATGACACGAATGTTTCATTAGGGCTTCAATAGTGTCACCCAAAATAATATCATAAGACATAAAAGGGCCAATAACTTCTTATTAATAAAGTTATATTTATTTATTTTTGTAAAAGACTTATTAGGCTTGGGATACCGCCACAGTGCCATCCACGTTACATATAAGTTCTTCTCCCCGCAAGCCCCAAACAGCTCATTTAGAGTTCATCAAATAAGAGGGATGAAGAAACAATTGAGCAAATGGTTGTAGCTAATTGAAAGGATAATATGATGGTGAAAGAGTTGATCCATGAAATCTGTTTCATACCATGGCCTTCTCCAATCCTACTCAAATGAGTGACTATTCAGCTATTTTCAGTCCAAGACGCATTTAAACTCACCAAACAAAGGCTAGGATCCATGTCCATTTTAATTGAAAATATCCAATCCAGTCCAGCCCATCAAACAAGGCCTTAATGACTTCAACATGCACACCGGATACAAAATCAAGTTATTAGTAAGTGTTATGATATTAAATAATTGTTAACTACCAGCCTGACTTAAAATTTTAAAGTCATTAACAAACAAAACTTATCAGCCCAGCTTAAAAAGTTGTAATCTTTCTTCCCCAAGTTGGGTATTTATGAGAAAACTGTTCCGAGTGTTATTGTAGAAAGTGTTTTCTTTTGCATTGTCATATGTACCTTCATTGAAGCCAATTTTTAAATGGCTCTTCAAAATAATTCTCGCCCAAACTAAGAAGCCAGGGCCTTCATGAGCAGAGAAGGTGGAGAGGGAGAAAGAATAGGAGATTTATGGATGAATGGATCTTTATGTTTTGTTGAACTCTCTCACTCGGGTGTGTGTTTCGGTGTATGCGATTCATCAATCTGATAAACTTCCAACCTAACTTTGCATTAGAGCTTAGACATTTTACATTGATAATGCATTTCGAACACGTAAGCCGTAATAATACGAACTTATGCTGGTGCTGATTCTTTTACTGGCTCTGCTTGTTGACTCTGTTCGTTGCCATCAAAATAAACCCTACTGGAACATAGCAAACTTCAAAGACATTGCCGAGAACCAAAATCGATATAAAACGAAGAACAAATGTCATTGTACAAAATAAGCACTAAAAACGCAACATCACAGAAACCCAATCTTTTACAAAAATGAAGCAATGAAGCAATAGGGGCACCAAAACCAATTGGGTCACAAATCACATTCAAGTTTCAGTGTGGCATTGTATCAAACACCGTGCGGTGAAAACAGGCTTCCCAATTTTAAAAAAAAACCTATATAATCAGATCAAGCTGATCCAAATCCACATCAAAATAAAGCAAAGAAAGAAAAATACACATTTACTAATTAAAACCCTAACCCTAATTAAAGAGTAGCCAACCAGATCCACAGGCCAACAAGGCCCTTCAAGAGCTTGTAAACTTGGTCACCGCCTTAGTCCCTTCAGAAACGGCGTGCTTGGCGAGCTCACCGGGAAGCACAAGCCTCACAGCAGTCTGAATCTCCCGAGAAGTAATCGTCGGTTTCTTGTTGTACCTCGCAAGCTTCGAAGACTCCTGAGCGAGCTTCTCGAAGATGTCGTTGATGAAGCTGTTCATGATGCCCATGGCCTTGCTGGAGATTCCGATATCAG